GCATTCGCGGTGTCTGATATTTTGCCGAATAAAGCTATTCCACACGACGCTCGAAACGCGTGCCACAGTCCAGTAGAGGAAGATAGCCGCACGTAGAAGGCGATTGATGCAGTCGTGAACCAAATGATTGGACTACTACTGCTTACATTGCTTCATAAAAAGGGTCAGCGATATCACGCTCTGCAGTCATACCGTCTCAGTGCAAAAAACAAACAGAAAAGAGAAAGTTCCCACCTTTTTGCTATTACTGCATAATACTGATCACCCTTCTCCTGGGTTAAACTGAATTTAAAAAAAATAATTAGTCATACTAAAAAAAAAATTATCGAGAGCAAGACATTAACAAAAATGAGACAAACAAAACGAAGAATCAAATTGGAGACTTCATTGTGTTTGACCTCTTTTCGTTTTGCCCTTGTTTTGGGTCTCTTTTTCAGTAATGCCGTGCATCAGCTCGACTGCGCATAGGCTCTTGCTTCACCAAAAACTGATGTTCTGTCTGCATATGGCGGGTTAGTAGATAAGCAAAAGGTTTTTAGGGTGTAGACAACCTGGTGGCACTCAGATGATCGCTGTGGAGCACGCACTCTCATTTATTATAGTTACGGCCAATTTAGGAAACTGGGAGCGCGGTTTATTATTTTTACTCTTCTTGCTTCATGATTTGATTTCCGGCGTTGTAATCGTCTGATGTCGCAAGCTCAGTGACTGCTGAGCGACGATAAAGCGCTCGGTACATATTACGCCCTGCATCTCTTATACTCGTCACTGACTATATTGGCTTTCAATACCGGTGTGCATTGAACCCACCTCAGAAGACGAAGCGCAGCGTGACAATGACAAGAAGAAGCGTCCAGCGAGGGCCTGGCCTGACCCACGCTGAGGGACACCAGAGCGCCCGTCGACTTGACCCCGAGCAGTAATGAGCCTTGAGGCGACTCAGCAGCTGGTCGCTCAAATCTGTCACTTGAGGTGCCAGAACGGAGCAACCATGCCGGTCAGCTGACACGTTCAGACAGGCACCGTGAGCTCGAAGGTTCCTGCGACAGAGACGAGCATTCACCAAAGCTGTACGCTTTTGAAGAAAGCAAACAGGAGTTGGTGGAATAATAACTGACAATAATCCCGTATATTCATTCAACAACTCGATGCTTTTCTTTTTTAAACAAACATATATTAAGGCATTTCTTATATGTTTATTTACATATTATACTTCCATACGGTATGCCATAACTGGTTAGACATAGACATCTAAACAATAAAATACGGAGTAAGTTCTGATGTGACTGTTTATTAATCATCATGTCGTATAAACGTATAATTAAAGCTCTGAATGATTTGGTGATTTGACTACAATCAGGGAAAGAGCAAGACGTGCCAAAATAATGTCCTCTTCAAGAGACAGTGAGCAGGCAAAGTATTATACGATACTGCGCCCCACGCTTTCGCTCTGGAGCTAAGTCCTCCGAATATAATATAGTTGTTTACATTAATTGTTTTATAGAGGAGACGCATCGAGCCTAGTTAAGCTTCGTATACGGGACTCAAGTTCGTCTGCTTTTTTGCTGTAGGATGAGACAGAAAGACGCCTATATTCTGTCTCATCCTACAATGGACTAAAGGCCAAAGCCACGGGCCGCCAAATCCAATCGCGTTCCACGCTATACTACGGCACGCTTAACATTGATCAGGGGTGCACGAATAACGCTCGAATCCGAAAGCGCCGCATCATTTCTATGGTTTCGACGCTGCAAAGAGCCTATGTTGTGGCTTTCTTTGCGATGTAAAATTGTTGAATCACTCAGTGCTGTTCGATTCGAACCACTGTCCACCCGTCCCCTCATCAGTGATTTGAGACGCGGGCACCGATACGGTCATCGAAGCGAAATACCGCACCATTTCGAGGTGGATTGTGATTAGATCTGGCGGTCCGTAGCTTTGGCCTATAGTCCACCGTAGGGTGAGACAAAGTATAGCTCTGATTGGCTCTGATTGAAGGATAGCGGGTAGACCTCAAAGCAGACGAACTTGCGCTCCGCGTTAGAAAATGGTCGTTTATAAAAATCACTACTATTTAAATCGTAGTTCGAACCATGATTTAAATCTCAATTAAGATCAGACCAGATTTGCTATCATGATTTAAATCAAACATTTCTCGCAAAAATAATCCAGAAAATTCTTCTAATTACCAGTTTGTTTATTTTGTTACGTTTTTTTATATATATACATATATTTAAATTAACGAATCATCAAGAAAGAAATATTTATATAAAATGACCACGAACAAAAAGAAGGGCTCTTCTGAGCAAACCGGAGCGTTGAGCTGGATTTCTACTTTCCACTTCCTTCAAAAGCTACATAACGTTTTACTGCAACAAACAAAACTAGAACACAAAAAAAAGGAATGTTCTATTGCAATCAAGACAGATTGTTAAAAAAATCAAATAAAGCTTTCTAGCTAACTAAAAAAATCAAGCTGTTTTGTTTTAGAATGACGGGGATTACATCAATAAAGAGTTGCTAAATAAATTTGCGTGTTTTACATTTATAGGGTTTCTTTCTTCCCCGTTGTTATCAATGTCCGGACGAATTGATCAATCAATCGGACGCCTTGAGAAATGTGTCAAGTAATAAAGAATCACTATGTTTAGATTTACTGATTTAAAGTAAATTAATCTGATTTCAATGAAACAAATCTTAATTATAAGATTTTTGAAAAAACGAACCATGATGTTTTCTATTTTGTATCGGAAGCTTTTTGGCCAGTGTCTTCGGCCAGAAAATTGTTGTAAGAAAGTTCTGGTATGCGCCGGCCTTCTTTATAAAGCGGAGCCTAGCAAATTTTGAATTTCTCGCTGGTACTGAATGTTATCCAAGAGGAAAAACAGGAACCCCCATAGAGTTCCAGCTAGTTTAAATCCCGACCGCTTCATAGGCAAATAATTGTGTAGGCCAGAGATTTGTTCCAGTTGTCTACGACAAGAAGATAGCAGCAGAACTTCATGAATATTATGGGGCCACAAAGAAATACAGTGAAGCATACTGACGTGCACACTTTCCGACGTAGATCAGCGGTCACTCTTGATGTTCCGCCGGATGTGGTGATGTTGTATCGTTCGACGACCGCGATGTCGTCCTCCATGATAGAGTCGCATGTGTCCCATTCTTGGGTAAACTCCTTCAGCTCACACGCTGTAAGGACGAATAAAATCGCAAACGAGGCATATAGAGGACGAAAAAAAAAAAGAAAAAAAAAAGACGCAGCCATATGAATACATCAAATGTCTTTACTATTTTATTACTTCGTTGCGTTACCAACACCATTTTATGCTTTGCTTCTTCACTAGTGCACTAACGGGGTCGTTTCTCAAACGTTGTGTCACTTCTCCGTGCGCTTTTTTTTTTATGCAACGAAGGTTTTAATTTTTTATTTTTTTTTTTTAATATCATGAGGGTAATTTTTCTATTATAACTCACGCTGAAGTCTGGGCGGCGTTATCGCGGGCACTGGTGCGAGAGGGAACAACACCCAAATGAATAAAGGCCCGTTCACACACTTGCGACTTCTTAAAACCGAGTGCCTTGGAACCTCTTAATATCGCTTACGACGAAAGGACACACTGGCGCCATCTATTGGGTAGCAATGTAAGCTTGAAGGTTCCACATATTTTCTATTTCTCTCGCGCATCATCCTTTCTTTCTTGGCTCGAAATACTTTTGTCAACGTCGTAAACGACCACTTAATTCTTATAGGTATTACACACATTTGACCTCGGAAATCCCGCAAAACCTTCGCTCTAGTGAAATGCAGTTCCAGGGTCACCGCATAGATGGCGGCAGTGTGCCAGTGTGTTTTCTCGTCCTAAGAAATTTTAAGAGGTTTCAAGACACTCGGTTTTAAGGAGTCGGAAGTGTGTGAACGGGCCTTAACTTGGCTCGCGCAAGCACTTTCGGAAAGAAACGGCCGTGAGCAGAAAAAAATGCTTTGGTTTGGACAGAGCGTTCCGTCAATAGTAACCGAAAAGTGCGAAGTTTAGAGCAGAGCGTTTGCACAAGCAACGCCTTGGAAAGTGGGCGTGGGCATTTTTCGCAACCATTGCAATAGTGTTTCCAACTACACTGGATTTCACACCAAGTGCCACAGCCAAAGTAACGATCCGACGTAACCAATCAAGCAGCTCCAAAAGTGTATCGTCACGGCGCTCGTCATTTTTGTGTATTTCCTATCACCGTCTAAACCAATCACGCAAACACAAACGCTCAACATAACGGCGCATCCACTGTGCATGATCGAATTTCGTTCTCATCGTGACTCTTAAACCAAGAACCCTTGCTGGCAACACTGAACTGTAACGACAGAAATGGCGCCAAGTGGACAGTAAACTATGTTCCCGAACTGAATACAAGACGTTCGATGGTGGGAAAAGAATGCTTGGAATCTCATTCACTGAGAAGCAGGGGAAAAAAATTACGTTCGACACACCCTGTTTCAGACTCCCTGCGCGACCTCAAAGTCTGCACCATTCGTGACCTCACAGCAACGGAGATCGCGCGGAAATTTGAATTTTGGTTTAGGCATCATCTCCATTTACGGCTTTTCTAACAGCTATTTTGAGTGTAATTTGTGTGGGTAGCTCACAAAACGGCTGGAGTTCCCTTTTAATGGCGACGCTCCGCCATGGCGCAAGTGTGTCCAAGGTTTCTTTCGCATTTGTAACAGACGACGCGAGATGCACAACATGCCAAAGGCACAAGGAACTGTTCTTATTTCTGCACACGTTTTGAACGCCACGCTGCGCGTAACCACGCATGCGCGGGATAACCACACAGTGCCCCTGCCGGGAGATGCGCGAAGCTCGGATGAAATTTTGGCCTTCTTTCTGACATTGTTCAGACACCTCTCTCGTCTTCCACCGGGGTTGGGCCTTAATGTGAAACGCAATAGAGGTGCTGAATAATTCATTACTTTGAGTGCGTTTGTGACTCACAAGTCACAACTCCTAGCACAAAACGATCGCGAGACAGGTCGTGCACATGCCTTGCCTGTGCCGCAAATAGTCCATGTCCACGGGACTCGACGCGTTGCCGCAGGCGCCTTCGTGCTCGAGCAGCAGGTTCCTCTGCAGCACGGAGACCTCCGTGGTGAGAAAGTCGGCGTCGGAACAGCCCGAGTCGTGCGTTGCCGAGGAGGTGCAGTACTTCATCTCTTTCACCAGCCTGCAGGGAGACCGGGTGATGAGTGGTGAGAACAAGCGGGAGTGATTGACTACGTCGCGCTAAGGATTGTGACGCTAGACCAAAAGCTTATTCAAAAGTAAAGATAATTGATAAATTTGAATGTCAAAATATTAAAGTTCCAGGTAAACTCCCGTAAGTGCAGGATCTGTATAAGGTGCCACGTGATAGTGTGACATCACGTCATGTGGTTTGCGTGACTTGGCATGGTAAACTTTTTGAATAAACTACGCGAGAAAACTTTCGCGCTAAGTTTAGTGGGAAAAGGATGTATACGCGCTGTCTGTGACGTTGCATATGTCTGTAACGTTGACATTACATCCATCGGTGATACATCTGTCCTGATCTTACCTGTCCTCTCCGTGACATCACAGCTATCCGTGGCGTTGCACATCCGTGTGACGTCACATCAAGCATCTGATTTTTTTTTTTTTCTTTTTCCAAAAACCTATTTTTTGAGCCAAAGAACGTATTCTACGCTAAAAGATCAGGGGCGTCGTTAGAAATTACGGAAAATATTAATTTAGACCTCTTGACAATTTTTAATGTTTAACAAAAATAACAATTACGCGGCACTGAACCTCCGTCAGAATCAAAAGGCAATCATACCCGTTTTCCGCTCAAGAACCGTAGTAAAGCAAGTTCGGCTTCTCGCAGATCATTCCTAATTTGCCCCTTTACGTTGATAAATAATATATATGTAGGTGACTTCTAGATTAGATGTATGTTATCTCATCAAGACGTACGCGTTCCGAATGCCAAAAGAATCGCTTTTTTCTCCCGACAACCAAATCCAGTAAGAACTACTTCGCACCGCGTATGAACAATGCTCAAACTTGCTTTTTTTCTTGAGGTGAAAACGGGTATAGGCTGGGCTTTAAACGTGACCACTGCGAATCCGTCGTCTCAAACTCCCCCTGAGGATCCGGTATTATGTTTCTCAAAACTAAAAAAAAAAGATCAAAACGCTTACTCACGGACATATGCCCGTGTTGTTGGCGGTTGTTGCGTTGTTCTGCGTGGCGGACAGCAGCCTGTGGAAGCCCACGCCGCAGAGCACCAGCTTCTTCACAGCCTTGTACTGGTCGCACATCGTCTGCTTTCTGACTTCACGGAACTTCATCCAGTTTCGGACTGGCACATGCACGCGTTTTGAACAGAAAGTGAAGCAACAACAGTTCTCAGGGTACAGTCAACAAAACGTTTTCGTTCACTCTCGTCCCCAGCCACCTAGTAGCCATATCCGGTATGGGCGACGAAAAAAAATAAAATAAAACGTTTCAACCTGCAAATAATAATTAAAAAAAGAATAACGAGGAGGCAAAGCTAGAATAGGTGACGGTTACGCTCATATTCTAAACGTCTTCTATTGGGGTAGAGACGGCCAAACAAATGTTTTCGCCCATACTGGAAGTGACGACAATTCAAGATGGCGCCACCCTTGTGAAAAAGGTTGATGGACCATTCCGTTCATACGCAGCGCCTCCAATCGTCCTTTCGACGCACTACGGCACTCCGATGTACGGTGCGTGAAAGAGTAGCCATAAAGGAAAGGAGCGGTTCAAGTGGCCAGAGGAATGAAATCGAGCCACCTCCAAGGGTATATACGTAGCGTATACGAGTCAGGCCAAGCGTGCATCGAAACGGCCACACCGTTCCCTGCGCCGCGCGCTGTAATGTGGGATTGACGAGAGGCCTTGTGGGATTTTGCGGAAAGGTCTATTTCAATATCACAGCACAACAATTGCATTTTAAAGCATACAATTCTTCATAACGCAACTCTATACTCCTAGCAATGTGTTCACCCGCACGTTCGGGTCTCTGTAGCCTAACAAAGAGGACATGTCCTTCTTCACTTCCCGAAGCGACTTTTTTTTTTTGTCTCCTAAACAAATTTAGATTATCACTTATATTGCATTCCATGCATTACACGACCATGGAATATAAAGGTAGCTGCCAATTTTTATATTACACGGATTTTCATATTACACGATATTAGGCGCAATTTCTTCCACAATCTTCGGACGAACTGTGGGCTTCAAAGCGTTCAAGAATGGTAAAAAAGAGTTACCGTAACAGCGTAGTCGTTTTTGGCGGGTTCTAAGGGTAGCTCCCTTAAAACAAAAAGCACGGAGAAAATCACCGTCGGAAGCTTTGTCTGAGGCAGATATTTCTGGCGCCACCACTTGATTTCTGGCGACTGAGAGAAATAAGAAAGTTGTGCTCCTGTTTGTTTTCTTTCCTGCCATTGAGCTTATTTCCGAAGTCTCAACCGGTTAACGTCATTGCAAGCCAAGTGGTCACCTGCTTAGATTTGGCTGTTTTCCCTATTGGTCGCTTGCCCTAAATTGTGAAGAACTACTCGACTGAAAATGTTCATATACTATTGGAACTCTTAAAGGGGTACTCCGCCGATTTTTGAGCTACCTCAACTATCTATATTTTCTGACTCCCAGGCCTTTACCCTTTCTGGAATGCTATTTAATATCGTGAAATTCATAATAGTTATTGCGAAATCGGCAAATGAAAATGATGCAAAAACAGGCATTCAAATATACCCGCCCTTTTCAGGGCCGTGACGTCAGTGGAAGTTCAGCTTGCCAGTCGGGCGAGTAGTCTAAAAAATAGAATATGCCAATTATTTGTTCCGTGCTGGAGCGCGGGGACTGGAGCGAGCTTCCAAGGCATTCATTTGACACCATGAAACTGCTTCGAATCAGTTGGGAACAAATTCTACAGTCCAAAGAGTGAACCCCTGCACTTCCAATGACGTCACTTTTTCATTGTTGCCAGTAGAGACTTTCAGTTTGAAAAACATGGTGAGGACCAAAATTGTAAATTCAATAACTTCGTGAAAAAAAATTATTTTGACCTAATATTTGGGATACTATTTTGGCGATGTTGTTTGGTGAGTTTAGCAAAATTTCAAGCAAATCGGGGACCATGAAGAAATCGGCGGAGTACCCCTTTAATGAGACTCTTATGACAATAGAAGACCACCACTTGTTTGTTTGTATGAGTTTTTTTTGAGACAGACTAACAGAAAGTTTCAGGGAACATGGCTAAAGGCATTTTGAAGTGCCTGAACGGATCTTTTAGAATAAGTCCGAATTGCCTTCAAGGCTGTGGGAATCCTGAAGACAATAATAAGTTAAAGCAAGTAGGCAGGCGAGCTGGTTAAGGATAGACATAGTAACCCTGGAGCTGGGGGACAAAAAGGGACGGACATACACAAAACTCTACCATGTCTACAACTATAAGATTGGTTTGTCTAGATATGGTGTTGTTCGCCACCTGGACTGGTATCCTGTCTAATATTCACTCAAATTTGCGAATTAACACTTCACAAAAGAAAATGAGCTCCATTAAAAACCACCCAAAACCGAAATCAAAGCGTATAAAAAGGTTTGACAGAAAAAAATGAGGCGTTCCAGTCGAAACCCGCGCAGGGGACGACCGGGTGTGTTTTCGTACTCTCGTGTGCTCCACGAATGGCGCCACCAGTACGATCAAGTTAATTTCTATTTCATCGGTGTTTTTGTGAAGAACTTATCTGCTTGAATCCAGTGTCTTCCAGGACAATGAGCGACTGACTCGGAACCTGTCACAAGCATAATGTCTGCATCTCTCTGATAGGCGGGTTTTCGAGCTACCTAAACTAAACACACTTTCGGAATACACCGACTTTACTCCTCCCGGCAGGCATGCTCTTTATTGTCTCTAAAATCAAAGTGCCTACTAAAACACGTCCAATGAAAGTATGCCAAAGATAACGTTCAAAGTTTTACGTGCTGTCTGTTGGGGTAACGTCGCATGTTTTATTAACTTGCAAGTCGAGCTGGCAATCTAAAAACGCACAATTTGCACGTTTTTGTTTCCTTTGCTTTGATAGCGTGAGCCTCCTCGGCATTAATTTCACATTATCAAACTTCTTGTAAACCCATACGGAACAGGTGTACCGCCATCGCATTACAGCATTTGACGTCACGTTTTCATTCTTGCCATTAGAACCGCTCAGCCATTCCCAACTTTCTTGGACATCAACGCCTCGGGGCATACCCTAAACTGCAAATTTTATCTGAACAAATATCGCAATGTTCACCGGGAATATTTTAGATGACCGCCACGAAATACCAATACCAGTAATTAAATTTTTTAACGCGTATAGTTTTTTTTTTTCTGCGGCTCTACAAACTGTTTGTTTTGCATTGAATCATGTGGGTAACGTTCACAAAATTGTCAATTTCTGTTTTTATTAGCAAAATATTGCGATGTTCCCGAGGACTGTATACTTAATTGTGTTGGTAGCATAGAACGCTAATTAATTAGAATTTTGATATTTAATTGAAAACTTCTAATATCTCACGGAAATGTCCCATAAAGAAGGCCATGAAAGCTTCCTGCGACTCGTGATTGGGGTCGCTAGGGCTCAGATGTGTCTGATAATGCGGTGAACAAATTTTGAGCCCAATGAGTGACTATCAAAATTGCGCTCGATCTTCCCTTTTTAAAAGTGTATTAAGTCCAACTGCTCACAGATAACAAAAACAAAGACACGATGTGATCTCCGCAAACATGATGATAGTATTATTTGCGGGCACGCGTCTCAAGCAACAGTTCGGAGCACGTTTGCTTCATACACGCGTTTCCTTCGATCATGTCTGCAGTTTTTGTCATACCAGGAAAAGAGACGCGCAGACAGTTTCTGCGCACTGTCTTTGGTACGATGTATTTGCGGAGTGACGACTGCGGCCTAAGAGTTCGGGGGAAATCCGGTACCGTTTTTCCGTGGACAGGGCGAGGCCTGCCTGCGGTTGAAAAGGTCTCGGATGTATTCTTGGGCTTTCTTCATGTGGCCGAAGAGGGTCTGCAACCCCTTGCAGTCGTTGTCGAATACCTCGACTTTCGTGCAGTTCTCGTAATCTTCGAGCAGCCTGTTGGAAAACACGGAGATTCATTGTAGTAGTCGCTTACAACTAACGTTACAAGAGCAACCAGCAGTCGGGGAACTGTCATAGGAGCCTGCTTCGGAAAAAAGTGACTCCGGTCCGCATACTCGAGAACAGAACTAGATGCGATCGCAGCGCCGCCGTTTCTCCCGCAGCGGCCACTTCGGGGAACTGCGCGTCTGCACATATACCGGTCCAGTCAAGTCGCGCAAGGGCCACGGTGGCGCCATCCCGTAGCCGCATCGGGCAGTCGATATATAAAACAACTTTCGTTGTTTTGACTTGCCGCTCAAGAGCGGCACCGTATTCATATCCAGTTTGGTCTTGGTTGGAGAGGGGAGTTACCCAACTGAGTTGTTCTAGTTCTAGTAGCCGACGCAGACAACTCAAGAAACGTGGGGTGTGCCGATTCCCGATCATCTTATCATCGCTTCGCAGCCAATGAGATGGCGACATTACCCCCGTAAAGAACTCCGGAAAACGAATCGCAGAACAAAAGGCGTGAGCACATTAAGCCACGCTCTGTGTTTCTTCAGCTGTCAGTGACGTAGGTAGACCAACGGACTCTCGACACACGAGTCGGCGTTTGTCCACACCGGGTGATGGGCATTGCCCTTGCGCAGAAACTAGATTTCCGTGAAGTGAGGCTTCTGCGCATGTGCCGTGCCGACAGCAGCGCCACCGCAGCGACGCCATGTCAGGACCGCGTGTTGGCGCATACTCCAATGCTGTAACGTTGCCAAAAAAAAGTAACGAAATGCGTTACTTGGTACTTACAAAATAAAGGAACGCGTTACCGAGTTGCGCGTTACCCCAGAAAAAAAAAAGAGGGATGCGTTAGCGTTACCGTTACCGATAAAAAGTAACGCGCATTACTTTTCATTTACCAATTGACGGTAACAGCGTTTGTTTGTTGTTCTTTTTTGTTGCGGCAGCGGTTTTTGACAGTAAAACATTATGGGGCTTGAGCGTTTTGTTTTTCTTCTAAAGTAGAACTTTTTGCGTTGGGAAAAGACAGGCGATGTTTTGAATGTATGCGGAATGAGTACAGTAATCAATGACTTGCAGCATATACATCGTTTAGGCTCAGCGCAGCCGGCTCTACGAGTTAATGGTACCAATGAAGCGGCGTCAAAAGAGCAAGTCACTGGGCCTTTTCTGTTAATGATTGGTT